CTTATCGACTGGTCTATCAGACCACGGTCTGAGATCAAATTGACACTCATCCACCTTTTTTCCGATTGGCTTCACAACCTTCAGAATTATTTAGTGATTTACGACAACAACAATCATCCCTCCAATGGAGAGAGTGGAGAGAAGCGTTCTAGCATATTATTACAAGATCCTTTTAACATTTTTTCTATCGACATTTAAATTTTTCTTGTTCAGAATAATTTTTTGTTTCCTTTTAATGATTCAGGTCACACCCGAATAAGTTGTGCAATACTACTAAAGAAGGAAATATTTGTGAAATATAATAGAAAAATTATCAATAGAAAGATTTACTTTCTGTGTTTATTCAGGTAGGAACTGAATCATATCTTACCAATAGAAACTAGTAATGTTTATAGAAAAAAAAGGCGCATAAGGCGCATGTATATAAGAAGGAAAATGAGAAAGAGAACTGAAAAAATTACGCAATCAGTCAGTAACTACTACAAATATAAATTTCACAATTTAGAAGATAAGCAACTATTTCTGTTTTTTGTTCATACAACGAGAAAGTAAAATCTCCTGTAGTAACTCAATATTGAAAGATGACTGAATCTTCATCTACTAACACTAATTCCAATGGTCAAATGTCTGTTCGAATGTATTGTGAACAAAGTTATCATGGTATTTCTATTCGTGTATTGAAAAGTGCTATACAAAAATACGCTCGACGTGCCATGTACGAAAAAGGGATATGGTGTTTAATTGAATTAGATTTGTTTTCATTATTTGAAACATCAGAACAAGCTTGTCTAGATCAAAAAACTAATATTGATACAAGTTTAACCGTGGTACAGATTCTTCAGAATTGTGTTAAAATACGATCTAATGTGATCAATCGTCTTGTCGCAATGATGAGTGAAGATGTGGGACCAGTGGATTTTTATTTGCCCATAAAAATGAGAGAATGCTATGAACAATGGATAAAAAATCGAAAAAATAAGCAAGGAAGATTGTATCTATTGAGAATGTATAAATATTTAGCTAATGCAAAAACAAAACGGATACGATTGTTAAGTGATTTGAGAACGGTTTATAATCTACCCGATTATTTGTTGAAAGATAAAAAAGAATTGAAGAAATTACATCTACAATTACTAGAAAAATATGAAATGAATGATCTGATTAAACTAAAAGAGGTAATATGCCATACTCTTGTGATAGAAATATGCCAGTAATTGTTTTGTTTTTCTTCAGACAGCTGATATCATGTCCATCGATGCCGTGTATACAAAAATTTTGGAACAACTTTCAATAAAAAACGAACTTGTTTATGGAATCATTCGCAAATGAAATCATCACTTTGAAGGGTATGGAGAGCCCAGAGATGGACAAGTCCAAGTTCGGACTTGGACTAGGACTAGCCCATCTCTGAGGGAGTTCAGCGGATCAAAGAAGAGTCAAAAAACCATAATGTCATTATCTTAGAAAACCTTTTTAGACTTTAAATCGGAAGACGCAGAAAAAATTAGAATGTTGGGGTTTTTTCCTCTAACGTAAGTTTTCTGCTACTAGTGAATTATCAGAAACAATAAAGATTGGACATACCAATGGTAACTCTAATCTGTCAAAATTCTGTTAATATCCATCCACAAACTGTTTTTTGATATCTGACCTTGCACCATTTGAACATGTTTTTGATTCATTAGGAAAACACCACATACATGTGTATGTTGTTGATGATACTCCTGGTTTGAATGGTCCTTTTGCTGATACTTTCTTTTACTGGATCGAAATCAGTGCACAAAAGGAGACTGTCCTAAAAAAGTCATATCTTCAAGATTAAAGTTAAAGAAATTCTTTAAGTAGTGAAGATGAATTTTCATTTTTATGGCTCTGAGACGCAGTTGTCTAAAACCTATCCTTGTGCTGTGATGAGTCGAGGTTTCAACCCTCGAAGCATCTTTTTTATCCATCAGTCATGGTTGTAAGGTCTGTGAAAGGCCAAAAACAAGTAAGGTATTGAGAAGACTCTCGTACGATTTTAGAAAAATTTTAATTATTTTCTTCGTAATATATTGTAAGATTTTCATAAGAATCTTCTTAAAATTTTATTACCCCCTTAGCACTTACGTGAGGAATTTCGTATAAGATATTTACAAGATCCTTTGTAAGATATCTGTAAGAGCCTTGTACGAAGACATGACAAGTTCCACAAAAACATTCAAGTTCGACAAAAGAAGATCAATCGGGTTTCTCTACTGTATTGATCATAGTTTTAATCATCTTTTATCTAACTCTTCACTTAAAACATAAGCGTTCTAAAGGCGATAAACATCGACCTGCAGAAGTATCAAGTTCCGAGCTTTTGATCCCCTCGGTTCATGCTTCCTGTCTAACTTGACTGTTTTTTGTTGAACATAACTATCTCTGCTTGCAAGACTCTTATATAAGATCCGATCTCTACAATAATTCTTATAGTCTGATCACGTCATCAAGGGGAAGTGTATCTAAAGATGACATGAAGTGCACAGGAATTTTTTCAAAGAAAAGTAATACGATCATTTATGAATAGTCACTATGCTTATTTATCCATATTATTTGAACATCCAAATCATTTACAATATATTCGTCAACTCTGGATATATTTAGGTGAACACAGTTCATCTAAAACATGTTCAAAAGCTTTAGAATATTTTTTTTCAAAATTAAAACATAAAGAACATTATTTATATTTGTATCATGCTATAGCTTTAATTATTTATCAAGAATATATACCAAATGATTTATTAGATGATGAAAATGAAAATTATAATCTCGATCAATTGTATATTGATCATTGTCAACAAGAAAAATTAAAATTAGATGATTTTGTATATGATTTACATACTCAATCAAAACATCAACAAGACAAAACAAAAAGAGAAGAATTTGCTAGAGAAGGTGCACAAGTAACAAATGAATGTCATCAATTATTAAATATTAAATATAGACAAATGTATCAAGAATTTAAAATAATGTTAGATCAATATGAAACTAATTCAAAAAAACGAAAAACAACTGGCGTAGAGAATAATCGAAAGAAAAAAGTAAAGTAGTTAAAGTTGAGTAAGTGAAATTTTTTCTTAAGTCTTTTGGTTATAGTTACCAAAAGTAGAAGAAAAAATATTCCCAATCGACAATGTCGATAATGAAATTGAGCGTTTAGGATATCAGTTATGTATTAAAGATGAAGATTTTGTATCCAATGTCATTAATTTATTACCACATGGTCAAAAACGTACGTCAAAACATAAAAAAGCTGTTTTTGTCGATGTTCACTCTATTTATAAGGGACCTTATCAAGCAACTGATGTTCAGTTATCAAGAAATTTATGTTTTACAAAAGCTCTAATCGCACTTGAAAATGAACTTGATTTACCAATCAATTTTCGAAGTGTACTCGATTGGAAATGTATCATTAAAATTGAAACTGATAATGTTTATTATTTAAACATGAAAAATATTGGTAAGAGAATATTGAATGTTGATGAAGATTGTGAGAAAGACATAACAACATTGGTGGAAAAAAATGTAACGGTAATTAAACGTGGTCAACTTGTGAAACGATTGAGTGAAATAGAAAAGACAAATGAGGTTAGCGATGATGTAAAACAAGCGTGTATTCAACATTTTTATTTGAGATATTTATTAAATGTTGGTGATAGTGGTACTTGGAATATATTGATAAGACAAGATGAAAATGATAGGATTTGTGGCATTGATTTTGAAGAATGTCGTGGACGATTAAATATGGCAACGAATGATCCATTTCAATTAATAATGAGTAAAGTATCAAAACGACAACGGCAATTATACAAAGAATATTTGATTAAGATTCAAATTTTTAATAAACCGATTAGTGAGACGTTGGCAACTTTATTAACATCATACAAAATTGATGTTAATAGTGTCAATGAGAGAATAGAAAAGTATAAAAAACTAATATCAGGACAATAATTTCAGTTTTTGACGAAATAAAAATTAATATTTTTAAAATAAAATATATTTGATATCTAATAAAAGATGCCGCAGTGCTTATCGGGTTAGTTCTTCAAGTAAAAGATAATATGTCCACGGAAATAGTTATCACATGGTATGTAACTTTAAACTTTGTCTAGACGACTAGTGAGCTGCTTGAACATATCAGCTCCTTTCAAAAGAACTTTTCAACAGTTCCTATGATAGGAGTTGATATGGAACTGTCATACCCCTAATCTCAATCAGCTGTTTAAAAATTCTTTTGAAATTGTACATTGATAGAGATTTTCGAACCTTTTGTTATAAAAAAAATGTCCCTAATCGTAGCTATCAAATAACAAAGACAATAAATCTCCATCTCTTCTCTATCAGAGATCATTCAAAAACTAGTCCTAGATATTTTGTTTTAAAATAGTAGTTCCGGTGCATTTCTGCTTTCGATAGTGATAACCGATTCATTCCACGTATCTTGACCGAAAACGTGATTCCGTCATATTGTTCGTTATTTTCTTGCCCTTATATCTTTCGAACAGAAGAACACTAGGAGCTCGTGCTATTTGATTTTTCGCTTGAGTCCAACTTATTCTCTTCAAAATAGAAGTTAAACAAGATTCCTACTTCCGATCGTGCAGGCCTACCATCTGATCTTCTTGAAACCCAATTGTTGATGTGAGATGATCTCTGAAAATCTCAAATAGATCTTAATCATAGTGCTATCCATAGCAATACACTGTAATTTGGAATTATTTTCTACTTTACAGAAAATCGATCTGGAAAATCGCCAAGGATTTTCCAACTTTTATAAAATCCTCAGCGATTTTCTACTTTATAGTCTGGAAAATCCGTGAGGATTTTATATATGGACTTTTTGAAAATCGCCGAGCATTCTCTATAAATAATTCCCGATTTTACAGTGTAGATTTAAAAAAGACGTCATAAAATGTCCATTTTTTGATCATAATAAACTGCCACTTTTAGGTATTAAAACATTTCCATTATAAATGCATAAAAATGGTCAAAAAGTTGTCACAAAAGTATATTTAGGCTTTAGACAATATTTAGACAATAGATGTCCGAGTGAACTTCTTGTAACCAAGATCTTCACTTCTTGAATTTTTACAGTAAGATCTTGGTAAGAAAGTCTAACGAGGGACCTCTCCAGGTGTTAAATCGCTTTTTGCTCGGGACCATTGCCATTCGATAGGTCCTATAGGACCTATCGCTGCTCACTATAGTGAGCAGTGAAAAAGTCTGTCTTGGTTTGGGTGCATGGGCCTC